CTTATAAGCTGGCACGTAATTCACTTTCGGATTTATGGCCGTTCTAATATTTTATAGCCCACCTAGGATATTTAGAATGTTCCTAGTTAATGTTTTTAGTTTCAACTTAATATTGTCTGAATTTATGTAAACAGGAAAGTACTATTAACGTTCACTTGGACCATCTAAGTAAAATATAATATACCCTTATATAATATTCTATATCCTTTATAAGTATTAAAAGTCGTAAATAAAAGTCAATGCGTAGATATTCATAACATTAGACAAAGACTGCCGAGTAATATTGTATGCAACGTATGTTAGAATCGTTTGATTTTCTGTTATTATACGGATTATGGCTTAGCTTTCTGACAAAATTTGCTTCATCGTTCATCGTTACGAACTTCACAATTTTCGAAGAAGCTGCGATGCCCGGAGTTGCGTGGTTAGGACTCCTGCCGTTTCAGGTGAATAATACAATAATATTGGAATTTTTACACTAATGGCGAAGAAATATAATTTTTTAAGAGTGTATATTATGTGTGCATGAATGTATGTAGGTTTAGATGTAGCTCTATGTATGCGTTGATAAAACTAATAACTATATATAAATTAATACTATAAACTAATAAGAGTTTAATTATTTTTTATTTTCGAAAGCTGTGATATGTCCCAGAAATATACTTAATTTAATTGAACGTCTGATTTTTGGTCTTAATTCGAAAGTTTCTATTGAAATTATGCAACATACATTCCTTTTCGCATTTCTAGGAACAGAGTTTATTATATTATATTATTTTACCAGCTACCGAAGTTTGCGAAGAAACAACATAACCTTCAGCGAATGTTATTTTACATGAACCATATTATTGTGCCTATGCGAGAATTCTTCAGAAGACCGCCCACGTGATAAATGAATGGGTCAGGTTAGAAGAAAATGGAAAGAAATATTACCACCAGAGGGAACTTGTTAGCAATTTAGTAATTAGTTGTACATTAACAGAAACTGTTAAAATATGAACGATTATAAATATTCTCTGATAGGAACAGAGATTATTAAAACTCTGAATCTTTAATTCGAATCTTTTCGTAGATTATACAGAGTGTCGTTACCATCGCGACAATAAATGAACACACGTCTAACGCTACTTGCCAATAATCATAAAAAAATATTAACGTTAAATAAAATCCATAATTAAGAAAAAATATTTTTCAAACAAACTAATTAAGTAAAAAAGAAACAAAATTTGTAACATCCTATACAACTCGCGCCATAGCGTCGCAGTCTCCTTCTCCTCTCCTTCTAACAGTATGTTTTGTCCCTTTTAAATTCATTCAACCCATTCATATGCTTTGTGACCTTTACAAATGAACTTTACGTTACGCTTTTATAGGTAAGGGTGTTCTAAAATTCTTTGTTTTGCAAAATTTAATAACTCTGTAAATATTGGTGTTTAAAGAATTTAAATGTTTAATACAACTTTAAAAAGTTATCCTCTATATGTGTGTTTATTTATTGACGCGATGGTAACGATACGCTGTATAGTTGAATAAAAGTTTAAAAAATAATTTAGTGAAGTGCATTACAGAAGTAATATTTCAGAATACCTACAAGGTAAGTTAATATTCTTAGCGTTAGACATTTTAACTTTCCAACAGTTTGATGCTTTTAACTTGTCTACATGTTTAATATGTTGTTCCATCTTACGTGCCGCATTCTTCTTCTTAATCCTATGAGTAATAAAATGGAGCAGCGTCGATCATTTCCATCTGGGTCAGATGAGCTAAGCTTACATCCTGTTGTATTGTGGTGGGGCCACGCAACAGTTTCCCCTGTTGCACGAAAGGGTAGGCTCGTCGTTAAATAAAAGTATTACACTGTCACGTTTCGTCTGGTGAGCGAGATAGCCGAGGCCTAAGCGTACAGGTGTTGTAGACGACCATGGGCGGCGGTATTAATTAATATCAAATTTTTTTTGTGTCGTGTAGTTTGCTGTTAGTCCAACGACTTTGACAGCTGCGGCGGAAAAGAGGTCCGCGGGCAGACGACCCACGGACTCTGGAGAACAACGTAGCTGGTGCACGATGACGACACGAAGACGCAGTCTGATCTCCCTGCTAACGGAAGATGGACAATCGGCTTTGTAACGTTTCATTTAAATGTACCCTTACCGTATGAAATATATTATAAATAAATAAATAAGTTGTATTCGATCGCGTAGCCTGCACATTGCGGTGGGATCTCTTAAATTTGGAAGTTCTCGGCGTAACTGGGAGACGCGACACGTTTGTGCCAAATGAAGCGAGACTACGTTGTCTACGTCAGACGGTGCGGTTACTGTGCTGTGTGCTGCTGGCACGTGACAACCGTACTACTTTTTAAAACTCAGAACAGTTAAATTCAATTTCATCCTGCTGGGGATCCACCAATTTAATAGGTGGGCACGGCAATCCGGAATAATTTGGCCGAACTACCCGAACACCCAGACTCCAACCGCTTCTAATATCTACGGAGAACAGTTCCTGGACCGTCTCATCCTACGTCAGGCGAGTGAACCCACTATAATTAAGTTATGAGTGGAAAAAAGGTAAATAAATTAACAAATCTTTGAACCTACCCCACCGCTTGAATTAGCCGTCAGGCCACAACTTGATCGGTGTATTTCTTCAAAAAAAAATTCAATTCTAAACATTAATTTCATAAACCCGTATTGGATCGGCGTTGAAGCTGAGCATAGGAGTAAACTTTGACCCTGAAGCTGCAGAAATGCCACATAAATATTTTAGCATGACATTTAAATATTTTAGCCAGAGCTACGTTTTCGGCCATGTTTTAAGCAGCAGACATAACCTCTGAAATACTCTCTGACTGCATTCAATGGCTCAGATGCCTTTGCTTACCTTGTTGTGAGTTCAATCTTCACGGGACAAAAAGTCATGTGTTCACAGAATTTTTTGTTCCGACTCTCGGTTGCACAATCATTTTTAACCATGTTTTGTGCTCGTAATTTTCATGCTTGTGAAATCCTCAACGACTCATGTACTTTTTCTTAGTGTAGATGTGTTTTTTTTAATTTGTTTTTGTTAATGTTCTTAAACCATAACAAAATCTCCTTTTATTTTGCTACTGTTATTATGTCCTATAAAGAATGTGTGCTTTCGGCATAAATTGATACAGTGATTTTTGTACATAAAAATAGTACTAAATATACACAAAAGTAGAAAAGCTGTTACGAACCTAACCTGTGATCTCAGCTTGCGAGTTGGTGCCTTCAGACTAATTAAATGAAGCGATCTTAGCCTTGAAGCCACGACCATGAAAAAACATCGTTTTTATACGTATTATGTATTATACAATAAGTAGTAACTTGGAAATAATTTCAACCCATTTTATACTACACCGGCACGACCAGGGATGATTTTCGAGTAATTCAAAGTTATTAATATTATCAGTGACATCATATAATGTCACCGATAAGATTACAGGCCTACAATATTTCATGAAAAAGGATATCGAAATAAAGAACATTAAATAACTATTAAGGTGGAAATATGGCTTCCAAGCAAAATATATTATGTGCAAAACTCTCTAACAACGCGAAAAAAACGAATGTTTATTGTTGACATTAAACGTGAAAAAGCTACAATAACAATTTAAACCTAACGAATTGTTCACGTACTTTTTCAATAAGGGAGGATGTATTGCTGTCAACATTTCTTTCGGTATATCGACAAATTCCTTAAGTTTTAAAGTATGTCAATAGTACATTTGTAGCGTTTGAAAGCGGTTTAGTGTTTAAATTCTTCCAATTTCCCAATTTAGATAAACTAAAAAAAATACTTCTGTTTTAATTTTATAATCATAAATCTTGAAGTCTAAAATTCTTGGACCAAGAGTTTAGTACTACATTGAACGAGTATTTGTATGATTTTCAATAATTAATTTTGGCATGATATTGTATGGTTATGTTATGTCATCCTCCTGTCGTGGACCTACCTAGGTTTTTACGACCAGCTGCCTGCCTTTTGTAAACCCTCCTTGGAAATTAACACCCAGATCTGGAACTATTACTAGCGGGTATTTGTCCGGTGTGGGAGTCGAACCCACGATCCCCAACGCCTACACCACTGCCGGCGGCGTCATTGATACAATGTCTGTTTATTTATAATTTAAAAATTTAATAAGCTCCCATAAATATTGTGCGATGTAGAAGTCTATTTTGTCTAACTTCTATACTGTATGAGTATGTGATGTATGTCACATGATAACTGCCATTGCACCGTGTTGTGGATTCTATACCCACACGGGATAATCATTTGTGTACTCCAAACGGCGATGGAGAAGTAGAAGTGTTCATCGGGCGACTAAGGTGCGTTTGGTCCGAGCCTTAGTTTTCTCAAAATCTTTGTACGGCGCCTAAGCATAGCGCGTGAAAAGTCGTGTTGAATGATGATGTCGGAGAATGCTGCGGATACCATGGACTGCCATGAGAACAAACAATTCCATCCTTAAAGAACTAATCGATATAAATATGACGGCGCGTCTATGAAATAATGAAATTGTCTATACTCGTTCATCATTCGTTCGCTACTAAGCCCTAGCTGTCAAACGTTGACAGTTAACGTAACACCGAGCACTGGGGAGACGGCCATTTTGTTGGTAGGGCATTCATCCTCGAGAGGTCGTGAAGTAAAGACGTTGCGCAAGGCGCCCCACGTGTTCCGGTGGAACGTTATTTAAAGAAATTATCCGTGCTTATCCGAGTGATCCGTGAATAGTTTGATTAGTGATTGTTAATTATTAAAGAAGTGGCTTGTTGATTAAAAAAAAAAAAAAACGCATTTCGTTATTTTATCAGCCTTGTTTCTTCGCCCGTCTACCCACGTGAGAGACGGAAAGAAAAAGGAATGGAAGAGTCCAGTGAAAATACCGATTTTCCTTTAAATAAATTGATGTTTACATCAATAAACGACTCTCACGCATATGCCAAGAACGTGCCCTCAGCTTCTTCGTTCACATTATGCGTTCATCGCGACATGATCTGGAGAGGCTCATTATCTTGGCCCAAATAGATGGCAAACGTGCTCGGGGCAGGGCGCCTGCAAGATGGTCTGATGCTGTGGAGGGGGCAGTGGGCCGTAACGGGCTGTCTATGAGTCGCATGATCGAACTGGTTGGCGATATAATGTTCGTGGTCACGATCCTCAGCAGAAGAAGAAGAGAAGATAAAGAATTGTACCGAGTGTACCCATACTTGGTGCCAGTGAATATTTCGGATTTCAAACGATTTCCTAGTGAAGGAGTCGGTATTTGAAAACAGAAAAGAAGAAGGAAGTGCATCCATATCATATGGTAGCGCCAGGCAATCGTCTTCTCTGTTGCAAGAATTGGCAAGTCCGTTCGGATAAATATCACGACCTCACAGAAGACCAGCGTGAAGTGGTAGTGTTATACTTCAGCGTTTCATCAGGTGGGTGAGGTAGCCGGGCTCACTTTCTTAAAAGGTGGCAACGCATCTTCAATCCTACGGTGTTATAATGTCAATGGTCGGAGGTTATCATTTAACACGAGGAGAACTGCAAGCCCATTTTCCACTTTCTCAAATTAAAACAAATATATCATAATACTGGGCTTTTAAAGGAAGAAAAAAAGGACTTTAAAAGGAAACAATTGCATAGTACAAGATGGCAGGCGAGAGGGGGTCCTCTGATGTCAACCGCCGCCTATTACTTACTTTACGAATTCCTATTACCTCCATGATGTTACAATTGTATTGCTTTAAAAGCCAGTGACTAATCTAGTTATTATACCTACCTGGCCCAAATGGCAAAATAAGATATTTGCAATCGACGTCGGTGTTTTTTTCTGTCAGAGACGTTTTTCGGGGAGCCGATGGTCTGAGCCACTAAACTACAACTTCCTAAAAGCACTGGTGTGCGGAAAGGAACGACAGAAATTCGTTCACGATATAAAGACGAAACATCATAATATTTCGCCATCGGGCCAATTGCTGTACGCTTGAAACGATTAATATAAATTGCAAGCGCTGTTTGTTACGCCACATTTATTTGAAAAACATCCTGTTGGCTACAGAATTAATACAATCGCATGTTTTAACACAATTTTCTACATGTTTTAATACAATCACGTTAATAAAAATATTTTTTATCGTAGTTATTTACCGAATAACATAGTCAATGTTTAAGTAATAACAGTTTATTTTTACTTTGAACATCACGTTTTTACTTTCAGTCTGTAGACTATCAAAGTTTCGTTGAACGTAGAACTCGTAGACTGGAACCCACGATCTTGATACGGCCTCTACGCTGGCCAAGAACGTAAATGTGCATGTATGTTATCGTAAGAGGCAGATATGTTGTAAAAGCTGAATGGTCGGGTGGAATAACGCAGTAGGAGTTAACGTAATCTTTCAACCTGTTAAGTATTATGCGTTCGTACACCTTGCCCAAGCAATTGAGGAGGGTGATCAGGCGGTAGCTGGTGGCTTGGTAGGACGATTTGTTCGGCTTGCCAATGCCAATGACTGTAGCCTTTTTAGTTGTTTTACTTGTAGCCTTGTAGTCAATTACTGTAGCCAAGCTTCTTTGTATAATAAAGGTATTAAATAAGCTAATGCAGCCATGCAAATCTAATACACGAGTAAAGTATTTTATATAAATAAATATGAGTCTAGTTATAAAACTACTTTCTAGTATGCAGGAATGATTGATTGGAGTATACCGGACTCAAGTTTGGGTCACATAAAGGTGTCAGTTTATATAACTCAAGTCATGTTTGCGATTTGGAAGGTACTGTGTCTAGGGGATTTATATTACATTGCTTACAGGCATATTTAAAAAGTATCATGATATACATAATATTCTTTTCATAATTACATTTGATGAAATAAAGTTGAACGATCTTTGAAATTGGATTGACCTCGGGCCCCAATTGCGTGCCTTTATGTCTGAAAAGTAAACTAAATAGATATTTTCTTATGTATTTGTATTTATTTATTTTTTCAGCGGGGATATCAAAAAATCGCATAAATATAAAAAAGAAATATTTATAATATTTCTTTTTTTATGTAATAAGTGGCAATCGAGCGTGCGGACATTATTTTCAAAGTCAGAGGAGCAGTCAAAGTGAAATTAAGGTTCTCTTATTGCTTGTTTTTTTTATACCTAGTGACAGTTTAGGAAATAAAATAAATAAATAAAAAAAATCTACCCGACTTTTGTTTGGCCTCATACGTGTGATTGGACTATTTTTTTTTATGTGAGGTAGTGGCAAACGAGCTGGGGGTTCACCTGATGTTAAGAAGAAGTGATAACCGCCTGCCCATGGACATTTGCAACACTCGTAGATGCGTTGCCACCTCTTAATAATGTGGGCCCCGGCTACCTCCCTCACCAGACGAAACGCAGAAGTGCAACACTTCTACTTTACGCCGGTCTTCTGTGAGGTCATGGTACTAACCCGGACGGACCTGCCCATTCGTGCAACAGCGAACACTGTTGCGTGGCCCTACCACCGTTAAAGTTACTACAGGCAAACGTTTTTAATTTTTATTAAAAGTGTGCGTAATGATACTGTATAATCTGTAATACTATAATAAATAAATATTTTGAGAAATGTTAATAGTTATTCTTATCGAAAGCAGTGAAATAATGTTTCAAAACAGGTAGTTACCGCTTGGAGTGTAATTCATACAATAAATAAATTAATTCGCTATATGTTTAGCTTCCGAGTCAGCGGGTTAGAAAACATTAATGCAATAGAGACGGTCAAATGACTTGGTAGATTTTCAATTCTAATCTTTTCAATTCTAATTCTAATCTTTTATTTTCCCAACTGGTCTTTGCAGTATACTATAAACGTATATTCAATAACTTCTGTTTTCATCGCGGGAAGATAATTATAATATGTAAGTAAAGTAAAGTGACAGCATGTACAGACATCTGCCACTGCTGGGCAACAATGTGTACAAAGTGTATTAGGGCATATCTACCGCGCAACCCCGTTTACACAACGCTAATTCCGTTGATTAGATACAAGTGTTTATTTTCCTCCCTACTTAGCTCGGTTTAATAAAGTAAAGCCAATAATATGCCACCCCCGTAGGGTAGTAGATATAGAACTTTCAATAAAGCGGGCCCCGGTCACTTTACACTTTACACACCAGACGAAACGCAGAAGTATAACACTTTCACTTCACGCCGGTCTTCTGTGAGGTCGTGGTACCTCCTCAGACGGCCCTGCCCGTTCGTGCAACAGCCGAAGCTTTTGTGTGGCCCTACCACAGTTATTAAGTCTAAATCAATATAGAAATAACATAATTTACAAAATAGCAAAAGTTGCAGAAGATTATGTTTAATGAACGCTTTGCAACGTGCATAAAAAAATAATTTCGAATAAATATACAGCTCAAACTCCGTTTGTCAATTAATCTTTATGAGAGCCGGTTATTAGGTTATTCTGTTTATAACATGCAGTTTGCGGCATCATCCAAAATATTTTTTTTCGCTAGATGCGTGTGAACTGTGCCATTATTTTTTTTTTTTCAAATATTTGGCGATTTCTGTAAGACGACTAAAATGGCACGAAGGCTAAAATAAAATGAGACTGTTATAGGTTTACCATGCTACTAATAATTTACAGTATAATTATTTAGACATTTTTAAAAAGAGCAAGTGTTAAGTTTTTTGCCGATTTTTTGTCAACAGAAACAGCTTTCCGAACCGGTAGTAACTTACTTACGAACTTGTATATTAATTTTTATGTAAAATTCGACGTTTCATAAAAAACGCAAGCGTGTATTTGAGTAAAGATATTTTGAATTTGAATTACGACAGTAGGTACTACAAAAAATAACAATTAAATTAAAATTGTACTCACTATATGACTTAATGTAAAGTAATGTAAATGGACATTTCTCCACATAGGAAAATCGCTGTCCTAATTTTATATAATAAATCTTGATATGTCTCAGTTTTTTGTATCAATAACAACACAGTATTAGGTATTCTTGGCTCGTCAAGACAATCTTCATAACACATTTCATTCAAATCATTTCTACAAAGTTAAAGTCAAAATTTCTTTATTCGATATAGGCTTTTTTAAAGCTCTTATTAAACGTCAAAAAGCAACTATCTTTTATTCGATAGTGTTGAAATATATGTGTAAATCAAAGACAATATTTCACGACCATAACATTATTGCGATTATACACCTACGTCACTGTTTTTAACCTCGTTACTGTCTTTATGCGTAGGTGACTACTTATTTTAGAGTACATTCATTGCACTCACCTAAATTATGAACGGAGCAAGCTCTCTGTTGCTCAATTCGCTCCTTTGCGATAAAGCCTTCCAAAAATGAAATATTCAGATGTCATGGAGATCTCTGAGAAGATACATTACAGATTTATGACTGAATAAATTTTAATATTCGTGTTTCATATATCAGAAAACAGTGGCATTTTAATTTAAAAACAACTGCCACAATGTGTTAAATACAAGTAATGTTACCGACTATTACGGTTATATTTGTAACCGTAGAAGTGGGTAACGTTGTACTTTACAACAATTTTAACAGCCTATCCGGGTAAGGTCAAGGTGCTTTACAATAAAGTAGAACAATATTTTTTAATTAAGAATTGCAATCCTTATCTCCAAAAATAATTGTAATGTGGGTGTTAATTTTTCTCCGTGAACCGCCAACCGGCAAACAAGTGCATGAGCTCTAATTAATTCTATAAGTTTCAGTGAATAATTTGACTGCCTAACGAGTTGAAATAATTAAAAACGTATAAGACACTGGTGCAGTTTGTAAACTCTTTATTTTCATCAACATAGAGCTTACTGGCATATGCCTTACAAAATTTACTAAGTACAACTTCGATAAAATAGTGAGAGTCGCGGAGGAATACGATGCACACGTCCTTCTGATACGACGCGTGCGCACCGACTGGCGATGGCGGGCCCCCGGCAGGGCCTCCTGCCGGGCGGCCGGGACTCAAGGCCACGCGCCCCGAGCGGCCAACGCCTACCTAACGTTATAAAACCCCCGCGGGTTACACTCTCCCCCTCTAACCCGAACGATGCGCCCCCGCGATCGGGTTAGCTTTACGCGGTCGCCCTCTTTTACGTTTTTCCTGGACAGGAGCTTGGATACGGCCAACGAAGGGAGTCATTGCAGAAACGTGAAACTCTTCTGCATCGCCTGTGCTTTTTCGTAAACGTCCCGAGCATCCCAAAGGACCATGGAAAGCTTTCTCAGATAAGGCGTTATATTGGTTATAAAGCTATCGTTATCAATTATTGTTTGTATCTCCGATTGAACATCGGCCGGCGCTCGTATTTCACATCCAAAGTTCAGATAAGCTGGTGAATAACCCGTACCTGAGGTAATTGCGGAATTCATAGCGAAACGGATCGCTGGTAGATAAATATCCCAAGTTGTATGGTCTCTTCCCACGAGAATGGCGAGTTGTGGCTTCAAGTCTCGATTTTTCCTCTCCACAGGGTTAGCATCCGGGTGATAATACGACGTTAGAGCCTGGGTAATACCCATAACATGACAAGTTTGTTGCATCACCTCGCTTATAAATTGGACACCATTGTCGCTTACGAGCCTCCTCGGCACTCCAAACCGTAGAAACACTTCTGAAACTAAAACCTTCGCGCATTCCTCGCTTGTGGCGGATGCGAGCGCGAATAACTCAACCCATCGGGTACAGGTGTCTTCAACTATCAAGATCCACTTGTTACCGTTCGCGGTCTGTGGAAGGGAACCGAATAAATCCACAGCCAAGGATTCGAAACGGCGCGCTGAAACTGGTGTTTGTAATAACCCAGCAGGCTTTCTTGTATCCACCTTATACTTCTGACACGGCGCACAATTCTTAACATAATTCGAAATATAAGCCCGCATTCCTGGCCAATAATACTTGCCAGAGATTCGTAGTAGTGTGCGTTCTACGCCGAAATGACCGGCCGTGGGTGCATCGTGATATTTAGCCATAACATCTTTCCGTTCCTGTTCTGGCACTACTAGACTCGCGTCATCGGAATCTCCATTTTCGGGACCGTAACGGAAAAGAATACCGTCATTAAGTACGTAACCTTTGTCAGCCCACGCCTTTCCTCTCGATATATCATCAGACTCCATTGCCTCGATGATCTTGAGTACTTCAGGATCCGCCACCTGACCCTCTCGAACGAATTTGGGGCTGCGTGAAGGCATGTCGACCACAGCTAAACAGAGATCGCAACCTGTGTCTCCTGTACACGCTGGACGCGACAGAGTGTCTGCTATAACGTTACTTCTACCAGGAGTATATTCAATCTTCAGGTCATACTCTTGTAGGCAGAGAGCCCACCTTGCCAGGCGACCACTTGGGCTTTTCATGCTCATGAGCCATCTGAGCGGCTGGTGGTCCGATCTAACCACTACCTCAGCTCCGTCAATATAGCCACGAAATTTGGAAACAGCCCACACTACGGCTAGAGCTTCCCTTTCCGTCGTGCTGTAGTTCCGTTCTGCGGGAGTAAGCAGGCGGCTGGCGTACTCGACGGGACGTTCATCATTTCCCTCCCCCTGGAGTAGAGCCGCCCCCAGGGCATAGCCACTGCTATCAGTTCGAAGGACGAAAGGTTTCGTCTCGTCGGCCTGACGCAATATTGGTGCCGAAACGAGAAGGGACTTTATGTGCTCAAAAGCTTTCTGTTGTTCGGGCCCCCACTGCCAAACACTTGCCTTCTTTAATAGCAATGTTAGCGGCTTAGCGACCACCGAATAATTAGGGACAAAACGTCTGAACCAGCTGGAGGTCTGTAAGAAACACTTGAGGCGCTTAACATTTTCAGGGGTGGACATGTTTGCAATAGCAGAAGTCTTCTCGGGGTCTACGTGTATACCGCCTGGTACGATCACATGTCCCATGAATTTCACCGACCTCCTAGCGAAATGGGACTTCTCACGATTCACTCGTAGTTTAAACATCGCCAGACGATCAAATACGGCACCAAAATCTTCCAAGTGCTTCTCGAACGAACCCTCAGATAAAATCAGTAAATCGTCCAAGTAAGCTACTATAAGAACGCCAGGCAAGTTGGATTTGAATCGATCAATCAACCTCTGGAATGTGGCTCCAGAATTTCGGAGGCCCATGGCCATTCTTTTAAACCTGTATGTCCCTTGGGGCGTGGTGAAGGCCGTTTTATCTCTGTCGTCGGGATCCACGCTGACCTGGAAATAACCTGAACGAAGATCACAAGACGTCATGAATCTTAAAGTTTTAGCGGCGTGGAGGACGTCTTCAATCCTAGGGAGCGGGTAGCGGTCAGGCTCGGTGACCGCGTTGAGTTTGCGATAATCAACGCAAAGTCTATAACTGCCGTCCTTCTTCTTGACCAAGACAACATTTGAGGCCCATGGTGACTCGCACTCCTCGATGACATCGGCATCGAGCAACCTTTCCCGCGTTTCCTATTGCATGCGGTAAGTCTTTTTTGTAAAGAATTTTGCATAAAAGTCTAGAAGCTGTGTCGATCTAACCAGATATATATATACAGATAGATATATATATACATATAAAGGCGTAGAATCTTGAAATTTGGTAGGAATATTCCTTTCGCCGAGTAGAGATCAGCTAAGAACGGATTTACGAAATTCCACCAAACAACGTTTTCCGGATCAGCTAGAACCTATAACATATAAAAAAAAATGTTTCATTTTCAATTCAGATTATGAGTTTTTATCGAGCGTAATACGGCACAGTCCCTATTTTAAGAATCTTTATATTATTTCGAAAATATGCTCAATGTGTAAAAATACATGTCCTGAAATTTGTTTTTCATAAATATTCATGTCTATGCCTTCCATTGTGCAATAAACCATCAGCGAGAACTGAAATTCTCAGGAAATTTACACAAATAAATAACATCAACACAGAATTTAATCTTAATGCCATTAAAATAACTGCTAATAATTTAAAAACAAATGGTTTAGATGGGTTTACCTGCATCCTGCTCCAAAGGGTGTTCGATCCCCACTACTGGAATGTTTTAGTAGGTTTGTGAGTTATCTAGTACCCATAGAACAAGCTTTTCTTAGTTTGGAACTAGAGAACGTTGTGTAAAAATGTGTCCGAAAATATTATTTTATTTATCAATTTGAAATTGCCTAGTATTTACATAATATTTTTTTACTAAGATATTTTATAGTATTGAGTTGTGATGGCTCAGTGCCCGGGCGAGCATTCGAATCCCGGTGCCGGCTATAATGAAATTATTAATTTTAAGTGCTGACATATCACCTGTATACTTTCGAAATAGTAAAGAACAAAATATAGCAAAACCTTGTATTATAACGTTCTGTTATATATACAGTTAGTCGAATGAAACGGTTATACGATTAATTTGAAGAGGTTTTAAAATGGGAACTCTTTTGTATTACTTGCATTAGCTTATGGTGCCGTTTAATCCGCCTGCCTGAATGACTATTTGTCTTTTAATAAAACAGTATTGTTTTATAATATTTGCAGGATTATAAATAGTAATATTACTACAAATATACAATGAAATAATATTATTTCATTGTATATTTGTCTTTGTGAACAAACAGCGACCCATAGCGAATATTACTTCATTTGGCCCTTTTAATTGTGCCCATACGCTCCAGAGAATCACTAAAGCATTTAATGAATTGCGCAAATCAAAAGGATTATTTTGATCAGCAGAAAATAAATATTTCCACCATAGGGAACTTGTGAACATTAATTAGCGTTGCGTTAACGAGGTTTTAATGTAATCAAAAATAGTAATTTCGTCAGGTCCTAAATTCGGTGTTACCTTTTTGATATATCTAAGATCATGTTAGAAAAATTTAATATGAGTTACACTATTTTTATTCTTTTTAACTTTTACAATCCTATTTTAGAATCCTATTATAAAATCAAAATAATTTATGTGTAAAGTTAAAGTAAGCAAGTAAACAGGTGGAACGTCTAATAGTAAGTGTTTACGGCCGCACATGCATATTTACACTGAAGAAATATAGATACATTTTTTTTTAAATTCTTGGGGTCAATATATCAAGCAGCGTCAATTTCGCGGTCATTTGGAAGGAAAAGCCAAGCTGGCGTCTAAAAAACGCGGTGTCCTAAACCGAGCGAGACAGTATTTCATGTCGATACATCGGTTGCAGCTTTATAAAGCACAGATTCGGCCGCACACGGAATACTGCTCTCACCTCTGGGCTGGGGTACCGAAATACCAGCTCCTTCTATTTGACCGCTTAGGGAGCTTCAAGAAGAGAGCCTACTCCTACCTTAAAGGCCGGCAACGCAATTGCGACTCAACCGATTTTGCAAATGTCCATGGGCGGCGGTGATCGCTTATCACCAGGTGACCTACGTGCTCTTTTGCCTCCTATTCCCATAAAAAAAATTTGCTACTTCAAAAAGTGGACATCGGTTACCTTACTCACCAAATAAAACGCCGTTTCGCTGGGATGCGAAACGGCGTTTCTGGTCAAGAATGGTCAGGCAAGAAGGTAGAATAGGCTGAATGCGTAACGTTCAGCCAGAAAGACAGTTATGCATAAAAATATGTATAAAAATTATAGCCTATATCCTATTCTGATGAATAAGCTATATTATTGTAAAGTTTCATTAGAATCCATTCAGTAGTATTTGCGTGAAAGAGTAATAAACATCCATCCATACATACAAACTTTCACGTTTATAATAATAGTGAGGATATAAACCTTCCTCTTGAATCACTCTATCTAGGAAAAAGAAACGCATCAAGATCCGTTCCGTAGTTTTTAAGATCTAGGCATACATAGGACCAGACAGCGGGATGACTGTTTTATACTATGTAGTGGAAATATAGTCAGCGCACTGCTCGACAAAGAAAATGTACAGGGGAAATTTATTTCTTATGACTGCATTGTCAACTTAGTAATGCTTTTCAAACGGACCTCTTTTACGTTTAGCCGAGCGATAAATGGTTATTGCGAATACATTGAAACGGCTTTTATGAGAACCGTACG